AGAGAGAGAGAGAGAGAGAGAGAGAGAGAGAGAGAGAGGAAGAGGGAGAGAAAGTACAAAATTAAAAGCGATCTAAATTTCCCGAAAACATAGTCGATCGCACGAAGAACCGCGAGCTCGTTGCCTATTATAAATGTACTTCGGAGGTTCCTTAGAGTTACATTTCCGGAAATGCACGAATAGCGATGAGAGACGCGTGTGTCTAGTGAAAAAATATCATCCGGGACCTCTCGTCCTCCTCTCTGTCCCCTTGCTTTCTTCTTTCTACTTCGTCCCGTTTGCTTTTGCCTTCTCCTCACACGGACGTATGTATGTATGTATGTATGTATGTACAACGGAGTAACGACGAAGTCCCGGGTCCAAATCAGGGTGCACCCGCGCGAGATTAAGGAAGACGCTTCCAGGCGACTTTTTGATTTACAAACGGAAGCTCTAGGTTCTCTGTCTACACGAGACATCATCTCTCGGGGAGTGGAAGTGCTGCGGGTTAAAGGCGCGTCGGAAGATCTCCGGTTGTACGGTCTCTCGAGTTCTTTTTTCCTTTTCTTTTTTTTTTTTTTTGCAAACCGGAGGATACTCAAGTCCGGACGAATCGATCCTCCCGAGAGGGCGATCGCGTTCAGAAGGAGGAAAAAGCACTCGAACGATTGTGCTCGAACGCGGCGCGACCCGCCCCGCAGCAATTCTCGACAAACTGCTTAGAATTACTGACGCGCTCGATACTTTTTGCAATCACGCTCGCATACTTCGCCTTTCCGGCCATTATCCGACTTGCTAACAACAGTCCTCGGTCAGTCCCTTGATCAGGAGCTTCTTCTTTTGACGCTGTGTACAAAATTTTCCTCGAAAAAAAAGGGCTCGTATGCGCGCGCGTGTGCGCGTTAACGCAGGGAGAGCGCTTTTAGGAGTATTTATCTTAAGTTTTGATGAGAGATACCTTAATTAAGCCGTGTGTACGTGTGTGAGTGTATGTGTGTGTGCCACCGCGCTTGCAAATTTGACCGTCGGATCACAGTTTCGATAGAGATAGTGACGTAATCAAAATAGAGGCTTTTCTCAAAAATATGTTTTATGAGAGATATTCATTGAGAATGTGTCGTCGAGGATAGTTTGTATTATCGCTATCGGTCGCCGAGACGAGTTTTCGTTCAGTATAAGCCTTCGAGTATATCTTTCCTCATATGTTATTCCGCGGCGATAATTAGAGCCCTCTTGTTCGATTCGGGAGTATTGTTCTCAAAAAATCGTAACCAGTGGACAATAAGACAATGAGAGCCAAGTGCTGATCTAACGAGCATATACATAAATACATATATACGTGTGTGTGCTCTAATTATATATAATATACACATATTATCAATATATCATATATTAAATATAATTTGTTTAATATATATAGGATATCCTGCGAAGAAACTTCTATAACGTATCCTAGAGAACATTCTAAGCAAAAATGTTCATGTACACTATTCGTCGTCAATTCGGCTCGAGATATAAAGAATTTCATCAACATTGCAACAGAGACAAAAAATATCAGACATTTATAATTTTCATATAAATAAATAAATATATATATATATATATATATATATATATATATATATATATAATTCTCTTAATTATATCAATTGTTCAAAATCTCCAAATCTTTTCTGTTTGCAAACATGCTGCTACTCGTATCATAGACCGCTGCCAATTAATTTCACCAAATTCAATGCGAATTAAGTCTTTTATATCTCGACTACTAAGTCGAATTGATACACTATAGTGATTTATAATACATATGTGTAACTTTTTGGTTCAGAACGACCTCTAGAAAATATAGAAGTTTGTCGATTTCCTCGCGGGACACCCTGTATGTCAAATGTACACGCAGATATAGATTGCACATTGAGACGTTTCGACGGTTACTGCGGTCATTTTCACGAACCTGCGTGTGCATCTTTTTTTATGTGTACATTAGACCGGTACTTGACTCTTATTGTCTATTTGTATTTTTAGATTTTAATTAAAGAGCTTCAGAATCATTCAATTGAAGTATTAATCTCTCTTTCTTTTTATAATGGTGGCATTTATACGCCCTTATTATGTCTGCTTGTGGATTGAACGTTTGATATTAGGTACACTTACTCTGCCGTGTACATGGATGCGACTTGTAATTGTATAAGAAACTTCATCGACTCTACAATACACAATAAAAACAGGGAAACGAACTCCATACTCACATAAGTAATTATTAACGTTATGTATATGGCGTGTGAAATATGTACTGTACACCTGAGGGATAGAGCTCGCGAAAATCGTTCGTTTGGCGAATAGTGCGGGGATATGAAGGACTCGTGGAAGAGTACAGCGAAATTCGCAGTGCCCGCGATGTGTCAATTGTCATAAAAGAAGGAAAATCAAACTGCCACGGTTCGGTCGAATTTTCGGGATGTGTCGTGTGAAGAGTAACATAACTAAAATATAACGTGCAGGAAAAAAATGCAAGGTATACAAATGAATTATTAAATATACTTGTTAGACATTCGAGTGCGGAAAGATTTTTCTCTTCTGAACAGAGCTGATTATACAGAATCGACGGGTCGACGAGTGGGGAGAAATCAGGGATACTCTGGAAAACAACCCCTGCACGTGGACGCGCGTGAAATAAGGATTAGTAACTACATATAAAGTGCACGCGCCGCACGACAACACACATCGCAGATAATTCTCTACTTTACACGAGAATACAAGGTGATTGTGAAACGTACGAAAGTCGCTTTTATTGTCACCCTATACGTCATTAGTCTCTAAGATCCGTAAATCATTCTGTCGAGAATGAGGTGTAACGACTGTAGCAATACTGTCTACGCATTAGAAACGACCTATCCGCGTTTATTCTAGCGAATATACACAATACTGACGTAATGTTTCCTGTTCTAAATAAAACTATCTATTAGGATGAGGGTTTCTCTTTTCAAGTGGACGCTTACGGAGGGAGAAAAAAGAAAATTCGAGAGAGTCCGACGTTGCTTCCGCAAAAGAAGTGCGAAATAACGACATCAATGATCCTTTAGTGTTATCACTGTGTTCCGATCAACAACGCAAAATTCGTTTCGCTGTCTGCAACGAGATACAGAAATTCCCCTTCGCAAAACGCGAAAGGAGAGAACAAAGTATTGCCGTTCTGTGATAAAACTTACGAGATGCTGCGTTATGTGCTGACTATGATGCGTACTTTAACTTAGGTGTATCTAACCGGTGACTCGTGCCAGTTACGGCTGTTGATAACGCATTAATCGTCACGGTATCACTTGTTTCTTCACGATCGACCCCGTGCCTCGTTGTGCAGAGTCAGAGTTTGTGTGAGTTGAATTCTCGGTAGCTTTCACGCGCAGTTTCGTTTCACGAAAGTGCCAAGCGATGATGAAGATACAAAGTGGCGACAAATGCGCTTCAACTGGTTCTCGGAGTCACGGCTTAGATAATGCTAGCCTAATCCCGTGTGTAAAAGACCGGCCGATCTTACGGGAACGAGAAATTCATCATAAGCTTTCTATTCTAATCGAAAATACTGTAACAGGTATTATGATCATATAAAAGTAAAATTATATGATTGTGTACCTTTATTTTACATGTTGCGATTAGTAAAACAAAGAAATCCCCAATTTCGGATTCCGTATAAGACCTCGAGCGAGCTCACTGACGATCGCGTAGAATTGACTTGGTGTCGCATATTGACGAGTATAATTGCGTATCTCATAGTACCCTCTCTCCCTCCCCCCCCCCGCGTGAGTACATACAATAAATCTATCTCTCTTGTGTACAAAAAGAATTGCCTCGGACATCCTCAAGTCGCGTTCGTCTGGCTCTTTTGCGCGCACAATTTCAAATAAAACCTCCTCTAAAATTATACGGAAAAAAAGGAAAAAAAAAAACGAGAAAGGGACACAGTGTTCTACACGATATTTCACTCGTTAAGAAGTAAAGGTGGTTGCTGGTAAAGGTGCAAAAAGAATTAAATAACGATAAAAAGAAATGTGGTCTGAATAACGCGGAAACGGTTGCACAAAATCTACCTCTATCGGTGCTCGAAAGGGAGCATGTCCAAATAATAACTTCAAAAGCGATATGTCGGATTTGTTCTGACATTACCGCACACTGCAAGCCACCAATCGTAGGTGTATGGAGCCGTTTGATGTACAAACTATCTGTTTGGTGATTCCCGGTACTTAAAAGTAGCGACGGTGCGGAATCGCTTTAACAAGTGGGGATATAAAAATTAATATATGTGTGTATACGTATGCGCGTATATGTATATATGTGGTGTGTGTACATAAACACATATACGTATATCCACATTAATATGTATAGATAATATCTAGTCGGCTACTTGTCGTTATAAACTAGCAACTATGCTTTAATTGATATATTTATATATAGCTCACGGTCTCTTAAAATTATAAAACAGATAGCCTACCCAACGATATTCGTTCATTATTATTGCAGCTTCAGCGAGTTGTAGGTATTTTGATACTTAAAAAATACCCATATTCGTGTTGTCGTTATCGCAGTCGCTGTCGTCATCTCGGTAATGCAACGCTTTTCTATTCCCGAATGACTGGACGGAAGAGGGCTCGCACTGATCGTTCCGCTTCGCGCTTCTCCCCAAGGCGCTATTCGAAATTCTCCGTTCATCGGACTGTCAACGCATGTCGCGTGCACCTGTTCACAGATGAGATAATTGCGATCGAAATGAAATGAGAATTCTAACAAGATAAACTTTTCGAGGCTTATTCCCCCACTTTGACATCGAGAAAGGGCCGAGGTTTGGGCATTGTCGTTTCTTTCGTTTTCTCTCTCGCTTTACGACTGGAAGAGTGCAACGTATATCTCAGCGAGTCAGCGCTGTTAGACGAGTCCCCTCCCACCTCATTTGGGGCATGCGCATTGAATGCGACATGAATGCGACATCAGTAGAGTACGTAATTCGATTGTTTGAAGGTGTTGTGCGCGTGGCCCCTGTTTGGATCTTTCTAAAAAGTTATTTACAAATTTGAGAAAAGTTGATAAGAATCACCACAGAATCGATTTACTTATCCTCTAGCGACACTCGGGAAAATTTGTCTGCTGAACAAGGCAGACTCGCGTCTCAAAATTCATACGAGAATAGTGGACAGCCTTTCTTATTCATGTTTTGATCGCGTCATTTCTGTACTTTCTGATACTTTCGATGCGCATGCGCGAAATGGGAATTCATCTAACAATACTGCTTCGAGAGTAATCATTGAAATACTCAATATTTCATACTTGTACTCAAAAACACACGCCGCCGCAATTCGTCATTATTACACATGACAGAAAGTACACTTTGTCGGTCTAATAGTAAAATCTTTTGCAACTATTGCACACGTCGCGATATATCGTCAGCCAGGATGTTTCAGCAAACTCGTTTACACGAACAAAATCGATGATTACAAATAAGAAAGAATTAAGATTGCATGTCCCTGTATACAGTAATTAACGTACTGAAATACAATATAGTATATAATATAGTATATAATATACTATAATAGATATTAATTATACACCGAAAATTCGTTAATTAATGTATATGGGACTTGCCGCAAGACGATCCAATTCCCCGTCCACACACTTTCCGCGAATGGCAAAATATATAAAGTAGATACATTTCTCTATTATCTCACAAGAGATTTTCGTTGATCTTGGCGGTTGGGAGGCTTCCGATTATCTTACGAGCCGAACTCTTCCGGGGACACACATTCCACGAAATTTTCCCACTCGCGTAACGTCGCAGAGTTTTTCCATTTAATTTTTCACCTTTTTATTCTGTTCCTCTTATACCTTTATCCATCTTAAATCCAAGTTATTTACCGAATAGTCATCATATACTCTTCCACAGAAACGGAGTCGTCGCACACGAAAAAAAAAAAAGATAAAGAGATGCGCCACTCGATCACTTCTCAGACACACTCTCTCTTCGGACACAGTTTGTACCTAACTGTATCATACATTCATACGTGATTTTTGCTCTTCTTGAGTGATTAATATTTGTTTAGAAAAGGGTTAAAAAAGTTAACCTCTTTACCAGCTCCTGAAAAGTATTCTCTAGCTGAATCATTTAGGCTCTGGGAAGGCCACCTGACACTTGTAGACCTCTTCGAGCATCACTGCCTGACCTTGGCCTTGGCTGACGGTGACGGGAGTGGCCGCGTTTACAACAACTACCTGGCCTGGCTGCGCCTGTTGCGGTTGTTGTTGTTGTTGTTGCTGTTGCTGCTGCTGACTACTCGCATTAGCCTGTTGTGCGTTAGTCGCATTATTCGTGGTCTGGTTCCGCGCCGTTTGCCCGTACTTTTCGTGGATCGCACGGTGACGTTTCAACGCGAAACGATCGGAAAATCCTATCTCGCAAATATCACACCTGAAAGAACGAGATGTATCTCACGCATAATGAATGGAGAACTGTGCGATAAAAATTGACATGGGTAATTTAAAAAAAAGGAAAAAAAAAAAGAAAAGAAGTAGAACTTGCTATGGCAAGATCTCTCACCTATGTGGCTTTTCACCGGTGTGGACCTTCGCATGATTTTTGAGATGCGTGGCTTGATTGAAGGCGGAACCGCAGATATTACACCTATACGGTTTCTCGCCGGTGTGAATTCTTCTATGATTCCACAGCGTCGAATGTCTGGCGAACGTCTTTTCGCAGACCTCACATTGGTACGGTCGCTCCCCGGAATGGATTCTCTCGTGATTTTTCAAGTGTGGACTTTGTGAAAACTGCATTCCACAAACGTTACACTTAAACGGCTTCTCTCCGGTATGAACTCGTCCGTGATTCTTCAGGTAGGCGGCTATAGAGGGATAAGCGACAAAAAGGGATTTCAGATTGTGAATTACGAGTTCGCTCTCATCGGTTGGTCATTATGCACAGAAACTGATATATCTCGTAATTTGTCTCGCGGCGACTTGTCCGTCTCGCTTGCTTACCCTTCGCGAATGCTAAGCCACATACTTCGCATTTGAATGGCTTATCTCCCGTATGAAGTCTCTTATGGGACCAGAGCGAAGAATATCGAGAAAATGTGCCGTCACAGACGTTACAATGAAACGGTTTCTCCGCCTGATTCTGACTGTTTTGCTTGCCGCCTGAAATTGAAAGGATAAACAAGATTTTAGTTTTCCTCGAAGGGCCAGTTCTACAAAAATGATATATGCTCGTAGTTGTTTTACGGAAGAAATTCTATAAACGCGATATACAGTGGATTCTTTTTTGTTTCATGGCATTTTAATATCTGCTTTCTCTTAATACATCCGAAAGAGGGATAATGTACACACGAAACATGAAGTTATGAAATGAAATGGTAATAATTATAAATGTACGATCAATTAACGTTTGTGTAAAGCAATTCGACCATGCATTATCATAAAAGTTAGTGCACTATGAGAAAAATCTGGACGCCACAAGCGATATAAAACTCTGCGGCTTTGTCTCTATCGCGTGACTGATTCCGCGCGTGAAACTTGGCGAAATAATTTCTAATGGGCTGTATATCATGAAATAAAGAGAAAGAACTGTGAACGGCTAAGCGGAAATTCAACAACAACTTGTTTTATGTACAGAGAACATTGTAAAATCCGATGATTTATAGATTTATAAAACTGTCCCTTAGGGGAGATTTTATTCTGTGCGATTGTCCTTAAGTTTAGATGTCGACAGTTCTACTAAAGACGAAGGAAAAGAAAATAACAGCAAAGCAGGGTATAATCACAACCAATTTAACAACTTGACACAATTTAGCAAGAATACTTAAGTAATAATAGGAAAAGGGGGAGCATAGTATAACATATATTCCATCTACAAAAATGCATGCAAGCGAGAATATCGAGGTAACATTAATAGAGATTCAAGATATCAAATTTTCCAAATTTTTCGAGTGTGTCCCTAGTCGACACACGTCGAAAATCAAACGTTCTGACTGTAACATTAATATCGCTTAAACGTCGATATGTGAGAATCTGTAATTCACAAAGTAGTATTAATTTTAATCGTTCATTGCGTAAAAAAAAAAAAAAGAAAAAAAAGATGTATCGGCGCTTATGCGTATCGCCGTAAGCAATAATGGAACTGCACAAATGTGGAACGTTTCGCGGAGAATACACTTGAACTGTCACCATCCAAAACAGACACGATATTACTGAGACTAATCGAAAAACAGGTCCCATACTTGTCTGTTGACGATAATTTATATCCGACTTACTTCCTATGATGATGCGGCCTGTAGCCTTGCAACCGCCACACTTTGCGAGGGAATTGATTCCGGAATTTTTTTCGTCGTGTTTACCTACCATACATCACCCGATGTACGATCATGATATAGCAATGATATGTATGAGGGATGTGGAAAGGGACGACAAACGTTTGAACAAAATGTTGCTGGTAATACGCGCATGCAGTCCACGTACATCGAACACAAGTAAGAAACACGTAAGTGCGAAGCGCTTGTATTTATTCGCGAGAAGAAACAACGTCGCGCTTTATCAGCAACATCTTTCTGCGGGCCTAATCAGCAGTATCGAATGATACTCAATCGAAATAACGATCGAAATGCGATACTCACCTATAAAAATAATCCCTGTGCCGTTGCACTTGTGACATTTGGTGACACTGGTGACACCCCTTCGTTTCACAGGATGGTGACCAGGTTTGATAGCTACGCAAACGAATGGATATTGTTTTTCTCTCTTTGAATAGATATCGTGTCCGCGCGATTGCGGATACATCGCAATGAAGCAGGGTGTTAAGACAGCTAGAGCAAACTCCGCGAAAACGATCCACACACAGAAAGATACATACTGTATTCGAGTGAACGTCGTTTCAAGTATTCCACGACTTTATGTATCCGCAAATCTATCGCAAGTCCATCATAAGCATAAAATTTGCTCAAAATGTATCTTGAATTTCAGTGAGCTTAGCCTTTTAATGAATAACATTAAATTAAAGTAAAAATTTCGTTTGCTCACCACATAGTCGAGCCAACTTTTTCTTCAATAAGATTTCATTATATTTTTGCAAAGAGAATAAATTCTTCTTTTGAGTACATGACAAGGAACTTTTCTAAAATTTGCGACAAATATATATTTAGGACTGTTATCAAGAAACTATTTTCTTGTTGAAGATAATCCATTACTCAAAAGGAAAGTAAATCGATTCTCTTAAGCAGTAGAATGATATTTTTCTGTGTGTAAACTCGATATTGATGCTTGCGATACTGGAGACAGAACGATTACTGTACGCGTGTGCGCTATGAGAATTATATGACAAGGAACTGCAAGGTAATAAACGTCAACTGAATCCTCTGTTCTCGCGCATTCCATCGAATCTATCGCGTATTACCGAGCACTGCGTGACTACGGCCTGAAATTAATTGCTTAAGGAACGTACTCTTTTTAATTTTAGTCGGGTGATGTTCGCACGGGTCCTCACTGCCACAATCTTCACATATTTGCACCTTAGGTTTCTGATGCATATTTGTTTTATGACTTTTTAATTCTCCCGGTAATGCAAAGCACGCCCCACAAACGTCACAAGTGTACGGTCTGTCCGGTGTAGTTGCGACAGTCACTGTCGTCGGCGTTTGTACCACAACCTGCTGCTGCGGCTGCTGCAGATTGCTGGGCGTCGAGTTGTGAATCCGTTTGTGGTGGGTCAGCAGGCTCATGTGGCCGAAGACCAGCCCGCAAATGTCACACTTGAAGGTCGCATTGGTAGCAGCGGCAATGCTCATCTGGTTTAATATTGTGTTATAACCGACAGGTTGCACATCGAAACGATAACAAGCCTTGTCGTCGGCAGCGATCGCACTGATTGTGCTCACCGCGTTTGTCTGAACCTTTTGTAGCATGTTGACGTTGTAGTAGAAAGAAGGGAAACCATCAGCGGTCCCGGACTGCTGCTGCTGAGACTTGTCCTCCTTCTTGTCCGTCACATATATCTGCTGAGACTGTTGCTGCTGCGACTGCTGACCCTGCGCAGCCTGCTGCTGCTGGATTTGCTGAGGGTCAAACATTGCTGCTTGCTGCTGCAGAAAGACATCATTCAGCAAAGTTAATTAAGAGAAGATGAGCAAGTTTGTCGGTATTGTTAATTAGGTCTGTTCTCAGCCGAACCAGCTTGCACTTTTTATTTTTGGAATGAAACAATCAAGTGCGTAACCTAAAGTCTGTTCTTTTTAGTTCAATTAGACTGTATTTTTTGCCTCAAAAGTATACAACTTAACATTGAAGGAAAAAGAAACAAAATGCCAGTGCAGCATTAGTTCAACTAAAAACAGGATTTGCATATATGGATTATTAAAATATTGTATTAACATTCTACACCTGCAATTTGGCTTTTATTGCTCCCAAATGTTTGTTACTTAAAAAGAATAGGCTTCTAGTGTTGAAAGAAAAAGGAGCAAAGTTTTAATACAACATTACTTCAGCTACAAAACAGAATTTATATATATGAATTATTAAAATATTGTATTTGCACTCCTAATATTGCAATTTGACTCTTATTATTCTTACATATTTGTTATTTAAAAAGAACATAGCTTCTAGCGTAAGAAAGAAAAGGAACAAAATTTAGGTGCTACACTAATTCAGCTTAAAAGAACAGGATTCACATATATGGATTATTAAAACATTGTATTAATACCCCTGATACTGCAATTTGACTCCTATTGTTCCTAAATAATTGTTATTTAAAAATAAGTCTCTAACATTGAAGGAAAAAGTGAATGGAGTTTCAATGCAGTACTAATTCTGATAAATAGAACATGATTCACATATATGGATCATTCAATATTGTGTTAACCCTTAAGACTGCAATTTGGCTCTTATTGCTTTCAAACGTTTGTTACTTAAAAAGAACAAGTCTATAGCATTGAACGAAGAAATAAATGTAGTTTCAGTGCAATACTGGTTCAACTAAAGAGTACAGGTCTATCGTTATGCGTCGAATTGGTATCGATTGGTATCGATCGAGATACTGCTGCTTTCATATCAAGGGAGATCAATGCCATTCGATAGAGACTGATGTGTCAATTCGGCGGTGCCGAATTATTATTTTTCGTTCTAGGGTTTTGAGAGAACCCTTAGTCGCGCTAAGTCCTTATTCACAAAAAAAAAAAACAACTTCTTGTATCTAACGTTTATCAGAAGATAATAAATAAACGTACCTGTCTCTGGTCTGCGTAACTGGAATTGCTCTGCTCTGTCTGAGTAAAACTATTAGATTGCTCCGTTTGAGTAAACATGGAACACTTCAATGGCTGCTCAATCGTTTGACTCTGTCAATTAGAAAACTTCATCAGGAGATACTATAATGGATCTGTTCTCATTTGAAAGACTTCCTGAATCGGTGCACATTGGTGCAATAAGTCAGAGTGAAACAAAATATACTTGCTTCACCCTAACTTACTGCACCGATGTGCACCAACTCAGGAAGTTGTTCAAGAAAGAACAAGCCTGATATCAGTGGTACTGAGAGAAAGAGAGAGAACGAGAGACAGAGAGAGAGCAATAATAGGTCTGTTCTTTTTCAAAGAACTTCCTGAACCAGTGTACACTGGTGTATACTGGTGTAAAAAGTTGGAGTGAAACAAGTATATTTTGTTTCGTTCCAGCTTGTTGCACTAGCGTACACCAGTTCAGAGAGCTCTTCCAAAAGGAGCACATCTAGTGTCGCAGCAAATCTGCCCAGTGCAATTAAAAACTAAACCCCCTTCCTCCTAATAGTGAAATATCGACGAAACCGTAAGATCGGTCGAGACAACTTATTTAAACGTTACCACCTATAGAACATACGTTCTTTGCTTGCCTCACGCGCGGCGCATACCTGCTGTATCTGATCAGGACGGGCTGTGTTCAACCACACCACGTTGTTGCCATTTGATTCTAGGGCCATTGATGTGTCGCCTTTGACCCTGTAACAATCAATAGATGATTGTTACGAACTCGACAAGCATCACGTAGCAGACGCGCCGCGTGAGCAGTGATACTCTCTCTCTGACAGGTAGACCGGGCGGATGTACACAAATCTACAGACAACGAGTGTTTCCCGACGCGAGAGACGCACCGGTTCGCACGATCGCGAGCATGAGATCAACGCAGGGCGGGAAAGCGGCGCGCTTCGCAGCCGCGAGAAGGGAAAGAGATCCGCGACAGCCTGACGGGAGTCCGACCGTACACGCTCGTTCGCGGGCGCGCGCGAAAGCGGACGTATATATAAACATACTCACACGTGATGGCTGTGCACGCAGCGGGCTTACACGTCTGGCTGCCGAGCGGCCGATAATCCTCTAGTTGCCATGACGGCGGCGCGAAGTGCCGCGCAGCAGCCCAGCGCGCGCGCGACGCTGCGTCTACGATGATGATGTCGGGCTCGTGGAGATCGTGCGCGGCGCTCTGGACCTCACCGTCGGCATACGTTGGCGCGCGCGCGCGCCTTATCCAGCATCCGCGACGAAGAACGATGGAGGAAGGTGGAGGAGGAGAAGATGGAGGTAGAAAAGGAGGAGGAGGAGGAGTATAGAGAGCAGCGTGGAAGGAAGTGGAGGAGGAACGTGTGCTCCTCGTGCCGTGGACGAGCGCGCGACGCTTTCGTAGTCGGTGAAGCACGGTCGCTTGGGGCCGTGGTCTCTCGCGAGAAATCAATGGCGTTCGATTTTGGCGAGAGCGCTCTTCGATTCGCGCGACACTCTCTCTCTCTTGTTACCTCCCGGTGCCGAGTTCGGCCGGTGGCGGTGGCGGCGGCGTTTGCGGATCGCGTTAACCGACACTGAAATCGCGACGGGTCGTTGCTCTCTCTCTCTCTCTCACTTGCCTCGTATCTGTTCGTTCCGCCTTCTCTCTCGTCGGGCCGGCACGCGCGCTCTACACGGCTTGCGGGCGCGCGCACAGTCACGTTCGCGGAATCACACGCTTGTCAACGGGCAGCGTTGGCCCGCGCAAATCATGGTCGGCTGCGTGGAGCGGCGCGGTGGCGGTTGGCGGCAGCGGCGGCGGCGGTGGCGGCGGCTGTAGGTGCGAAGCGCGCGGACCGTCGCCGTTCCTCGTCGCGTACGTGGTCCTCTGTCTTTCTCCCTCCTGTTCGCCCTCTCACTCCCTCCGTCTACGTTCGTCGCACGCTCTCTCGCTCTCTGCCCGCCTCGACGGCGGCGGCATAAAACTTGCCGACGCGGATCCTCGCGGCCGGGCACTGCTGCGCGAGAAGACGCCTCACTGTGGACACTGGGTAGGCCGAGAACGCGAGATGGCGGACGGCACGACGAGTCAACAAACGTACACGGTGGTGGCCATTACACGCGGGACGAGGATAACAATGGGCGACACGGAACGCGCGCTGCCCCCCGAAGCTGCTGTCTCTCTCCGAAGCGTTTTACGGGCGGCTGCCGGGGACGCAGCCGTTGGCTTCGCCAAGGTCACAGCACGATGACGCTCGCGCGCCGTGACGCGCCCTCCTATTGGTCCATCGCACAGCCGTGAACATTGTGCCTTGGCTACGCTCACACTGCGCGCTAACGTCTTTTTCGAGTACGCCTCTGCCCGTTACACTTTTTCTACTCTCCTTGAGTTCGCCGTTTTTCTCTCCTTCCGCTTTGGCTAGAGCAGAAATCGCGAAGGCACGAATGATGTGCGAACGAAATACACTCGACTCGGATACATTTTGGACTGGGAACTGTTTTATTCGCGCTTTCTGCAGGTAGGTGTTGTTAGAGGTAAAAAAAGTGCTACACGGTTTCTTTTCGATGTCTTTTGGAATGGGTGATTGATTGGGCGCGTTCAGCGGAAAAAGTGCTCAGTGAGCAATCAGCGATTATTGGTTCTTATTGTTAGATCCTTAGATCTAGAATTACATTGGCTGCATTCAGCAGACTCAACAGTTGCACAACAGTTGAGTAATTTGTCAATGTAATTGGTCTAGATTTAGGGATCTAACAGTAAGAACCAATAATCGCTGAGTGCTCACTGAGCGCTTTTTCTACTGAATGCGCCCATTGACGAATTGCTCAACTGTTGTGCAACTGTTGAGTTTGCTGAACGCACCCAATGTAATTGGTCTAGATTTAGGGATCTAACAGTAAGAACCAATAATCGCTGAGTGCTCACTGAGCGCTTTTTCCGCTAAACGCGTTCGTTGTGTATTAATACAACATGGTAAAAATTACAAAAATAAGCAAATTTATTAAATATTGATCAATAAAATTGTGAATATTCGAGTAAATTCGTTTATTTTTGTAATTTTGATCAAGTTGTTAGTACACAACTAATCCCTTGAAATTCGAATGGACTAAAGCTAAGACTCCATACATGCCATGAGCTCCGGCAAAATGCTGCGGTGACGAATCAGAAATCAAGCTCATGCTGGAGCTTGCCGCAGCCCAGCCTGCGCCTGGCTTCTGATTGGTCACCGCAGCATTTTGCCGGAGCTCACCGCATATATGGAGTCTTATGGCTCTTGCACACAGGACGCAGTAATGCTTGCCGCGCGGCGAAAGTTCGTACGACAGCCAATCAATATGCTGCTTTCCGTAATAACCTTCTAGCTCTTACGGAAAAACAACATATTGATTGGCTGTCGCGCGGACTTTTGCCGCGCGGCAAGCATTACCGTGTCCTGTTTGCAGGAGCCATAAGACCTGGTTGCACCAATATTGGTCACATTCAGTGGAGAAAACTGCTCCGTTACCGCTCCGTAGCGAAAGTCTCTGATTGGTACGTCTGTTAAAGGTTTAAAAGAATACTCCAATCATAAACATTCACTACAGAGCGGTAGCGGAACAGTTTTCTCCTCTGAACGTGACCATTATTTCGGTTTTAAGCGAAACCACAGATGTATATACTAAACTAGATTGCTAACAAGGGCTTTGAACGTGTGTCGTGTAAGGTTTCTGGTTGCATGCGAGAAAATGCCGGCGGTCTATATTAAACTAGATGTTTATATTAAACTAGATTGTTAACAGGCTATCTAAAAGCATGTAAGGTTTATGTTCGATAGAGTTTCCGGTGCATGCGAGAAAATGGCCGCTACCGCCACATATTTTTTACGCCATATATTCCACTATTAATCATAAAATTCTTTTGTTGAAAATGAGCAGAGCAAATAACGTCCAATATCATTTATTTTTTTGTTACGACATTTTTTTATACAATAAGATGCTGGCATTTTTGGTTTTACGACAGTAATTTAATGGACACGCTGACTCACATTGTATGTGTAAGTACTCACACAAGTGATACGTCACACACACAACGTCACACACACACACACACCACTGAAATATATACTACCTGGAATGCGCGCTGCCTCTTGAGACATGCGGGATGAGAGAGAGGTTCCTTGTTTCTTTTCTTTGTCTGGTTCATAGTATAGTCGAGAGTGAGGAGAATGTTATACAGTCCAAGTTAAAAGTTAGAGCTAATATGAAAAGCAGTGACCACGGAATGGCAGTGACTTACAGGGGGTAATAACTCCCGTCTGGTAAGTGGCACTACCTACACCTACCGCCCTCTGAGATTGTCTCCGGAAGTGGCCGAACTAAACGGGTGACGTCACGCGGAGTGGGGATGCGCGCCAATAGAAGTATGAATAGCACGCACAGACAGACGTTATAGAGAGCAATAGCAAGCAACTTATGCACGTATGGCACGTATACAGTTGTGTGCATGCATATATGCACATATATAAATGTATATCTTTTACTATTTTCATAAGATTATGAGAATTAAAAAATGAAAGAATCAAATAATATGAGGTATCCGGTAACTCTCGCGATGTTAATAAAGATATGATATTTTATATTAATATGATATAAGGTTAATATTATATATATACACTTATAATGTAGTATTGTTAGTATACTATATATATGGCATGCATGTGTGCGTGTGAATGTGTGTGATGTATATGCGTACGGTGTGCGTGCGTGTGATGTGTCTGTATATGTATGTGTGTGTGTGTGGTGCACGCGCGCGTGATGAGTGTATATGTGTGGATGTGTGTATGTGTGTATGCTACTGTATAAGTATTGTAGGCTAGTTGCTACTTCTACGATTTAGCTAATTGTTTTAGTACTATTACTACATTATTACTAATCTACAATGATTAGTAATAAGATAATATATATATTTATAGCTTTATATTAGTGCTCGCTGTTGCTCGCTGTTGTTCGCTGTTGCTCGCAGTTGCTCGCTATTGCTCGCTAAAACGTTTCAAGAACGTCTGCCTATGCGCGCCAGTTCATATTCATTGGCGCGTATCTCCACTCTGCATGACGTCACCTGTTTAGTTCGCCCACATCCGGAGACAATTTCAGAGGACACCACTAAAAACGGGATCCAATTTTTACAAGAATGAGTTTGTACCCCCTGGTGACTTAGGCTGCGTTCCGAAATTCACTGCCAGTACTAAAATTCTATAGTAACATGAACTATAGATTTTCGGGAGCGGTGCACTTGGACGGGTGTATATCAGTTAGACACGGGGCAATTGGACACAGTCCAATTACAAGTCGCTGTTCCAAGGGACCCTACAAATGTCTCTAATCACACGGTGCTGTGATTGGCTGTGTCCAAATGCACCGTGTCCAAGTGCACCGCTCCCTTCAGCTTATGTTTAAAAATCAGCCGACTTAGCTTTGGTTCAGACTGTACTAGACAAAGATATCGCTGTCGAGACTTACAAGCATGCTCTCTCTCATCCCGCAACACTCAAGAGGTAGCGTGCGTTCCAGGTAGTATATATTTCAGTGTACACACAGGACCGCCGCCATTTTCTCGCAACCGGAAACCTTACACGACACACGTTCGAAGCCTTTGTTAGTAATCTAGTTTAGTATAGACATCTGTACGTGTCACTTGTGTGAGTACTTACAACGTACAATATGAGTCAGCGTGACCATTAAATTATTGTTGTAAAACCAAAAATGCTAACATCTTATTGCACCAAAAGATGTCGCAATAAAAAAATAGATGCACGGAAAAAAAGATTTGGTTGAATTAACCAAATATCTGGTCGAATATAAACGATCCAGAAATTCCGATTAAAGTAACCCCAATTCTGTTTAAGTCAACAAAAAATTTTGTTAAATAAAAAATTTGTTTGATTTCATATTCGATCAGATATTTGGTCAATTCAACTAAACCTTTTTTTCCGTGTAGTATTGAACGTTATTTGCTCTACTTATTTTCAACAAAAGAATTTTTTTACTAAACGTAGCCCATATAGCACAGATCTTGCAGCAACATTGCGGCAACACTGCTGCAACTTTTAACATTGCTGAAAGATCTGTACTGTATGGGAGTGAAAATATATGGTGGTAGCGGCCATTTTCTCGCATGCACCGGAAACTCTATCAGACACAAACCGTTATATGCTTTTAGTTATATGCTGTTAGCAATTTAGTTTAGTATATAGTAGACATCTGAACGAAACTTAAACATATATCTATCTTTATCCTTCTTTCTAAATAAATAAAGACAGACATATATTTAAGTCTCGCTTAAAACCAAAATAACGTTGGTGTAACCGGGCCTAAAATATTAGAGGTTGAGAAGCTCTTATACTGAACACTCACACACACTCTTTTATTAATAAAAGTGTTTTTAAGTGCGGCTTATAAGCCTTCTAATTGATTATAAGCTTCTTTTAAAGACACTTTTACCGGTAAAAGATAGTTGAAAATAAAAATATAAAGCCTGGTTATATCATCCAAGTGATAAACTAATTGATAATTAAAACATGTGTGTCTTCATTTGTTTTGAAGGAAAAATAAAGATAGACATACGATTTAACCGTTAACTTACCATTCGATTGGTGTAATCGAACCTAATGTCTATATCAGATTACGGATTGAGGATTGTAAATCGGATCAGTCGGGTAAAATAAGATCA